TGAGTCTCACTCTCACAGTGACACTCCTGTCTCACACTGCCCCTTCCTGTGTCTCACTCTCACACTGACACTCCTCTGTCTCACACTGCCCCTTCCTGTGTCTCACTCTCACTCTGACACTCCTCTGTCTCACTCTCACACTGACACTCCTCTCTCTCACACTGCCCTTCCCTGTGTCTCACTCTTGCACTGTTTCACCCCTCTCTCTCTCATTCTGACACTCCTCTCTCACACACTGCTTGTCCCCTGTGTCTCTCTCACTGTTCACCCCTCTGTCTCACTCTGACACTCCTCCCTCTGTGCCTTAACACACAGCCTCCTTCTCTTCTCTCTGCTCTCTGAGTCCTGATGGACGACATGAGTCCACGTTCACATAAAATTACATTTTCATTCGGAAAACACAGAGGGCACTGTGCAGCCGACCTGGACACGATGGTAAAAGAAATAAGTTCTGGCAAAAAAGCAGTCTTTTCATTTTCTACAGATCTGATGTTTGATCTCCTCCAGAGCTGTAATAATCCTCTTCTGTTGAGAACTGACACCAACAAAGACGTTTCTCACTGAGGCATCACAGGGCGAGAGTCTCAACCTAGAGGAAAGTCTACAAATAGCGGCACAGCCCCTTCTGTATAAAATCCCATGAGATACTTGTTTCCCTTCATCTTGTGGTTGTACAACCGTGCGCGGTGCACAGGGCCCGAGCGCGGACGCGAGGCGAGACCCCCTCTCCCTCCCAAGCCCTCCTGGTCACCCAGGTCAGAGCTGCTGAGTAAACACTCGCAAGCCAGTCATTCAGGGCAGTTCCCAGGCCCATGAGAAAGAGAGCAGTGCGCTTTCTTGCAGGGCCTGGGGCGGCTCAAGCTCATCAAGCACGGCCCAGGGCCCGTGAAAGCACAGGGATTAGCTCCTGGCCTCTCTCCTTGCCTTGCACAGAGAGGGGCGCGCAGGGCTGGCACGCCACTCCGCACGGATGAAGGCTGGGGCCGGCCCACACCACCGCCAGCGGGCAGACAGTTCTCACGCTCACTGCGCCAGGTGGGAATCTGGGGGCGAGGAGGGGAGGCCCAGGCAGGAAGAGAGCTTGTGACACCGCCCGCAGACCAGATAACCTTTCCACAGCGCCACAACCGTCACTAACGAGAGCTCAAATGACGAGGCAAGGAAGGCAGAGCAATTTCTTAACTTCACGGAGACAGGTACGGAGACACCCCTGAGGGTCTGGGATCTTTGAACAAAACAGTCTGGGAGGATAACTGTCATAACAAAAGGAACCAGTTTTTGATCCAGAGACTTTCCTTGCTCATGTACAGGAAAACTGTACAGTCCATCCATCCATTTTCTAATCTCTGGATCCAATTCAGGGTCCCGGAGAAGCCAGAGCCTCGCACAAAGAAGGATACACCCACACCAACCTGGAGAGAACATGCGAACTCCACACAGACATCACGCCAGGTCCGGAACTGAAGCCAGGACCCCACCAATGGGAGGAAGCAATGCTAACCACTGGAACACTGCGCTGCTTCAGTGGTAAAGTCTTGTTTCCTAAAATATCTGTGAAACCACAGGCTCTGTCTGACACTGACACATCTGGGAGGGTTGAGGTAATTGTCTGTTTTAAGTGGGAACAAAGGGCTTTAGGCATACAG